GAAAGAAAGAAAGAAAGAAAGAAAGAAAGAAAGAAAGAAAGAAAGAAGGAAGGAAGGAAGGAAGGAAGGAAAGAAGCAGAATTACTGTTTATGGAATTGTCAAGATGGCTCAATGAACACAGCACTTGTAATACAAAGCTGATAACCTACAGCTTCACCCTGCAACCTGCATACCGGTGGGAGGGAAGAACATACTGGTGCTTTAACAAACTTGTCCTCTGACCCGCACACATGTGCCCCTCCCCCTGACGCAGACATCTTTTTCTTTCCCCCAAGACAGGTTTTCTCTGTCTACAACCCTGTTGTAGACCAGGCTGGCCGTGAACTAACAGAGATCCGAGTGGCTCTGCCTCCTGAGTGCTGGGATCAAAGGCGTGTACCACCACACCTGGCTGGCACCTTTTTAAAATTTACTTTTAAGAATACAAGTTGATAGATGGGCAAGTGTAAGATGCCTCTCTGTGTAGGTTACACTCACTATCTGAGAAACCTGTACTTAGCCAGCTGAGAGCCCACCTCCATTCAAGACAGTGGCAAAGTCCTGGGCCACCTCCCATTCCTCATGGGTTCAGAACTGTGGGGACAAATGCAGACCCCTCATAGCCAGCCAGACCCAAAAAGCCCGCTTCAGACCACCATAGACCCTTGAGATCCAAGGCTTACCACTGAAACAAAGCAATTGGACAGGCAGCCCCTACCTACAGTAAGATCACAGCCCTCCTCAACTTCCAGGGCCTGCTTCCTTCCACCATGGGACCGTGGGATCACACTCAGGACTACACTGGGCTGGCACCTTTACCCAACAAGCTGTCCCGCTGGCCCAGACACTGCCTGTGCCCCTACCACTCTGTAAGGGGGAGAGTGGGCCCTGAGCATCACACAGCCCTTGAGACATAGGGACAGTAGAACAGGGCCCTTCGGACACTCATGGCTCCAGACTTTCTCCTCAAGCAAAGTTCTGCTCAGGAGAGTCAAGGCTTACTTACAAAATTGCTAGAGAAATCACACAAAACCATGTGTTTGAAGAAAATCACCTTTAAGAAACTTTCACTTCCAAACACCATCTTTCCCTGGTGATCAAGGGGCTGCGGGCCTGAAACCTTAGTAGCCAGAGCTAAGTGAACACAGCATCGCTCACCTTTCAGAGACCGTCATTTGGCCTAGAGAATAAACAGTGAAGGACTGTGCTCACCTCCCAAAACATGCAGCACGCCTGACTGCTAGCACACTCCATCAGTCAGCAGCTCACAGGGCGCCTCCATCCGAACACAAGCCTTCCCTGTGCTGAGTGACGTGTGCAATGGCTTTGCAGGAACTCCCAGCTCTTATAAGCTTCTGCTGAGAGTGACTTTAAACAGGCAGCACAAAAAGGTGCCCCGACACTTTTTATTTTTCATTTAAACGTCTCTACTTATCCTTTCAGGCTGCCCTTGGCGGTGTGCAAATCTCCCTGCTGAAGGCTCCCTCCTCCAGGTGGCCAGAGCTTAACTCTCACTGTCCAGCACCTCAGCTTCGGGCTCCCGAGAGCTCCTGTTTTCATCCTCCGGCTTCTTCTTCTTCTTGGCCCTTCGCTCTAGGTTAAGCTGAGCAATCTCTTTGTTCTTCTCTGTGATGTATTTTAGCTATGTGTGTATATATAAAAAGCAAAACTATATTAAGTCTTTAAATCTGTCTGTAAACCATTTTACATACTTACAAATAATCACAACAGCTTATACCTTCTCTGTTCCAAGAGAACCGAGTGGAAAGTCATTGACTAAACTACATATTGAGCACTAAGACTATCCAAGAAATGGAGACAGACACAGTACAAAGGCCAGTCTCTGTTCTTGTGGAGAGGAGGTCAGAGGACGGGCTGAGATCGCTGAGTTCTAGATCTGCCATCAGTCACAGCCACGTGACCCTGGCACCTCTAAGTGTCAAGTGTCTTCACCTAGACACTGGGTCAAAGCGATTCTTTAGATGTGAAAAAGTAGAAACTGTGCTCTCTTCTGCACAGCCAGCCTTGCTGACTTCCATCCATCCCCGGCCCACCTGAATTCCTGGGACAGCCTGCCTGGGGCACACATGTAATCCAGGCCACTGGAGTGCTGACACAGGAGAGCCTCATGGTCAAAGCCTGCCCGGGCTAAAAGTCAAGCTCAGCATGCCCCACCGAATAATTCACTACAACTCCGTCTCAAAACAAGAAATGGGTCTGAAGAGACATATCCGTGGTTAACAACATTTGTGGCTCCAGCAGAAGACCCAGGTTTGACTCCCAGCACCCACACTGTGGCTCACAACCTGTTAACTCCAGTTCCAGGGTATCTGACACCATCTTCTGAGCTCCAAGGGCACCAAGCTAGCATATGGTACACACACAGGCTAAACAGTCATTCACATAAAATAAGCTTTGCCAACAAGAAGCAAAAGGGGGCTGGACGCACAGAATAGTGGCACAGCACTTGTCTAGCATGCAGAAGGCCCTAGGTTCCATCCTAGCACTAGGAGGTGGGTGGGTACCACAGGGAAACCATCCCTGTAGACTAATCATGGTTAGTCTGTGACATCATGTTGTAAATGAAACACGGGGCCAAAGTTTTGAGATGGTACAAAAAAGGTAAATTATGGAATCCAGAGAGAGCTGATTAGAAAAATTGAAATTGGCTTTGCAAGATCCATCACGATGAAAGGAGGACTATAAATTACAGGCAGGGCTGAATGGTTCAACCGTCTCTAGTTTTTAATGCAAGGTGCCCTGAGGAATAACTGCGCGCCAGCAAGTGATTAATTGGGAATAATGTATTCTGGTGGGGAAGGGGAGGAAAGAAATTCATCTCTCACCAGTGAGTTACTCCGCCTGGCTAAGAGCTTCACGTCGTCAGTAGAAATTGTGCTTCTTTTTGCATGTCTGCAGAAAGGGCAGAGGCAAGTCACGAAACATTCGGTATTAAAGTTTTGATGAAATATAAAAGTTCATGGTCAAACTTGCGATGAGCAGGGGTGCCTGCATGCACAGATGGTCAGATTGAAACCATCAGGTAAATAAAGACACAAAAATGAGTAGAGTTTCTAGCCAAGATACCAGTTCCACAGAGGACACAGAAGCCCATCTGTCCACTGGGCCTTCGGACAAAGCGTGCTAGACAGCAGAGAAGGGGGTCTAAGGGTTAGAAGCCTTCTAAAGTCACCTTTCTTGTCTTGGTAGTCAGTTTGACCACAGACTGCGCAAGGTGAGTGTACAGCATTGGTGAAGAAAAAGCACATTGTAAGATACAAGAATGCTCTGCTTAACTTGCTTAAATAGCAAGAAAACACCCACAATGATGACTTCTGAAGCTGTTCTCCAAGGGCTGAATTACAGGCGAAACACATGCAGCTCCTCCTGGGGTATACACGCACGCACGCACGCACGCACGCACACACGCACACACACACACACACACACACACACACGCAGCTCCTCCTGGGGTATACACGCATGCACACACACACACACACACACACACACACACACACACACACACACTCACACACACACACAGACCTGAGCCTGGCAGAACAAAGAACTCCCTTTAAACTGGTTCTGCCTCCTGCTCACAATTTGGACCCAGAACATCACTGCCGTCCTCCAACCCTCTCTATGAAAGATGGGCTAAGAGGGATGGGGCTGCAGACAGGACTGCAGAGGGTGGAGTTCAATTCTCAACATGTACGTCTGGCAGATCACAACTGCCTGTAACTGCAGGCCCAGGGCCCACTGCCTCTTCTGGCCTTCGAGGGCTTCCATGCTCAGGAGCATATACACATATACCTGAGATAATGAACTGTTCTGCAATTGCTGAGTATCTCATTTCCCACCATGACCAACTTCCATCCAAACTAAGAGCAAACAGGAATAACTTGTGTCCTTAATAACTAGCTCAAAGGTCAGACCCAATTAGTCCTCACAGAATGTCGGCTTGCTCAATTGAAGATGGAATCATACCACCGGGTATGGTGGGCACGTCTTTAATCCCAGCACTCAGGAGGCAGAGATAGGCAGATCACTGTAAGTTTGAGGCCAGCCTGGTCTACAAATTCCTGGACAGCCAAGGCTACAGAGTCGGAAAAAAAAAAAACAAACCAAACAAACAAAATGATGAAATCACACAGCAATTATAGGACAGTTAATGACCAGATTCATTCTTTACACCATTTTTTACACCTAAATGTGTACATTCGATGTGCCACTTCATCATAACAGACAATAGTGCTTGTACGAGAATAGAAGTTTGAGGGCAGCCTGGGCTATGAAGTGAGTTCCAGGATGGCCAGGGCTACAAAGAAAACCATGTCTTGAAGAACCAAAACAGAAAAGATTAGAAGAAAGTTGAGACAGTGTCTCACTCTTATATAGCTCAGGTTGGCCTTATACTGGCAATCCTCCTGCCTCTTCCTCTGGAGTGCTGAGATTACAGGCATAAACCACCAGACTTGACTTAAACCTTATCATTAGTTGTCTGGCAGTAGTGACGCACACCTTTGATCCCAGCACTTGGGAGACAGAGGCAGTCGACTTTCTGAGTTTGAGGCCAGCCTAGTCTACAGAATGAGTTCTAGAATGGCCAGGGCTACACAGAGAAACCTTGTCTCAAAAAAAAAAAAAAAAAAAACCAAAAAACAAAAAACAAAACAAACAAACAACAAAAAAAAACCCAAACCCCCCCCCCCAAAAAAAAACAAAAAACAAAGAACAAAAAAACCCCAAACTCTTCTCATTATAACCTGCAAGGACCAGGACAATGTCAGAAGCAACCAAAAAGTATAAAGCCATGGCACAGAGCCAGGTGCTGTGGTGCACACCTTTGACCCCAGCACTCTGGGAGACAGAGGCAAGTGGATCTCTAAGTTCAAGACCAGCCTGGTCTACAAAGTGAGTCTAGGACAGCCAAGGCTATACAAAGAAACACTCTCCTGAAAAAAACAAAACAACAACAAACAAAGCCACGGCACAGATGTCCTGGAGAGTAAATAGCCAGACACTGATAAGCAGTGTGGGCCAGTCTCCATCTGTTCATACATGTATTTTCAAATACAGTGAAAGAAAGAAATGAAATCAGATATGGCAGCGCACACCTTTATTTCCAGCACTCGGGAGGCAGAGGCAGGCGGGTCTCTGAGTTCGAGACCAGCCTGGTCTACAAAGCAAGTTTCAGGACAGCCAGGGCTACACAGTGAGACCCTGTCTTAAGAAAAGACAAAACAAAACAAAGAAATGAGCACGCTGCCTTTTCAAAGTGGCTGTTCCTGGGAGTTGGTGGAGAGCAGCACAGTTGATGCCCTCTACCCTTCAGCCTGGTGCCCGGTATCTGTGCCAGATTTTAATGTCCTCATCATCCTAGCAGGAGCAGAGGCTATGCTACACACCTGCCTTTGCTGGCAATAGCAGAAACTCCCCAAGTCAAGTCCCAACTCTAGAAAATTACTCTTCCTGGGAACGGAGGAACAGTTGTTACATTGATTTTTTTTTTTTTTAATATGAATGCTCTCCTTCCATTTGTGTGGCCAAGGCGGTCAGAGGAGGGCATTGGAGCCGTTGGAACTGCAGTTCCAGGTGGTTGTGAGCCACCATGTGGGGCTGGGAATTAAATGTGGGTCCCCTGCAAGAGCAATTAATGTTCTCAACCTCCAGGTCATCTCTAGAGTCCCAAAGAGCATTCTTAATGAAAGATGTCAAGGCTGGGAATGGGGGCATACACCTTGAATCCCAGCATTCCAGAAGCATAGGCAGGTGAATTTCTATGAGTAGGCTAGCCTGATCTACATGGTGAGCTGCAGGCCAGTCAGGGCTACACAGTAAAACCTGTCTCAGAAAATAAACAGATTCAAATGTTTAAAACTATTTCAAGAGCCAAGAGGTACACGCTTTTAATCCTAGCACTCAGGAGGCAGAGTCGGGCAGATCTCTGTGAGTTTGAGACCAGCCTGATCTAAAGAGCTAATTCTAGAGCAGCTAAGGCTATACAGAGAAACCTTGTCTTGAAAAATCAAAAATAAATAAATTAAATTAAAAAAAAAACTTAAAAATAAAACTACTAGGGGCTAGAAATGTAGCTCAGTTGGCAGTTCTTGCCCAGCATGCAGGAAGCCCTGGGTTCAATCCCAGCACCACAGAAACCAGCTGTGGTGGCAGAACACACCTGTAATCAATCCCAGGGCTTAGGGGGTGGAGGCAGGAGGGTCTGAAGTTCAAGGTCATTCTCAGATACCAACATGTTTGAGGCCAGCAAGGAGCATATGTGACCTTGTCTCTAAGTTAATTAATTAATTAAAACTAGTAAATAAAAACCCTGGGATTTCCACGCTAAATATTAAATTCATAGCTGGGCACGGTGGCGCACACTAGTCCCAGCACTCTGAGAGGCAGAGGCAGGCAGATCTCTGCTGAGTTTGAGGCCAGCCCGGCCTACAAATTGAGTCCAGGACAGCCAGGGCTCCATTACACAGAGAAACCCCAGGGACCTCCTGGCTACCCCACCCCACGCCCACCTCAGGCTTTCAGGAGGCTGCGGCAGAGGCACATGCATCACCTAGAGAAAACTTTTAGAGTAAAGAGGCTCTCAATGGTGGGACATGTGCCTGCCATGCACAGGCCCCAGGTTGGAGCCCTATATGCCCGACCATGCAAACCAACAGTCCAGACTATCAGGGAGCTCAACGGGCTACTACAGTGAACATTTCTATTATCGTTCTCATTATTCATTTATTTTGGAGACCCACGCCCGTCAAATCTTTTATGCCAACCATATGTCTGTCACTGAACTCCACAAACTCCTGGTTCCTGATTTTTCTTTAAAATTTATTTTTGTGTGTATGTGTGTATTGTATGCATGTATGTCTAGCGCCTAATCCCTGAGGAGGTCAGAAGAGGGTGTGGACAACTGGGAGCCATCATGTAGGTCTGGAAATTGAACTCAGGTCCTCTGCAAGAACACGTGTGGGTTCTTATCCACTGAGCTACCTCTTCACCCAGGTTTCTGGATTTTTTGACAAAGCGTCACTATGTAATCTAATACATAGACTAATCCTAAACACGTGATCCTTCTGCTTCAGCTTCCTAAGCACCAAGATTACAGGCATGCCCCTACCACACCCAGCTTGTTTTTGGAACTACATACACACACACACACACACACACACACACACACAGGTTTTTTTTTTTTTTTTTTGAGACAGGGTTTCTCTGTGTAGCCTTGGCTGTCCTGGACTCACTTTATAGGCCAGGCTGGCCTCAAACGTACAAAAATCTGCTGCCTCTGCCTCCCTGAGTGCTAGGATTCACAAAAACATTTTTAAAGCTTCCATTGACTTCCATAGCTAACACAGAAAGGGGACGAGAAGGCAATGGACACGTCAGGACTGAGAGGTGGGCAATAAGCAGCAGCTGGATGGCAGCGGGGTGAGCTATTAGCATCCCATAATACTACCTTATCCCTCTTGGCTAAGCTGATGATGCTAAGCAGTTTTTAGGGACTGATAATATATGTGTAGAAGGGGAAGATTTAGAGGCCCCTGAGAACCCACGGCTGTGATTCACTGAGAATATCCATCCCAGGGCCAGAGCGCAGAGCCGCAAGGTGAGGAGTGAGGCTACGAAGCTGAGCGAGCAGAAGCCTCAGTCATTCCAACTGCTGGGTGAAAGCAATGGTCTCCAATTACCTGAGCACTAATTGCAGAGAGAACATAAATCACCTGTAAAAGCTTGGGCCGCTCCAGCTGAGAGCAAGCCTCCCCCCCCTTCCCAGGATGATTACGTCTTCCTCACAGAAAACACGGAATGAAAAGCCCATCCTTCTCTGTACACCTGCAAGCAATCGGAGCTGGGGCACAATTCGGCCTTCTCCGTGGGGGACCAACCCCCAAGTTCCCAGACCCTGGGAAATCAAACCGTCCCCAAGAAACAGTTTCTAAAACTGGCAGCCAAACACGTGCAGAGTCAGGGGATGCAATCCAGACCTTTGTCAGCAGGGGCTGGGTAACGTGAGGCTGTCAAAGAGTCGGAAATGGTGAGACAATCTGGGCTGACGTGTTCCGAGCAGATGTGAATTTCCTGCAGCATCGTGATCAGCCACAAGCCCCCAGAAAACAAGAACTCCTGAAATACACCACCAGATGGGGACAATGATGTCAATGGACCTCACGTTACACAACAGCTTCTCTACCCACCTGGCAAACATTTCGAGGTCTTTAGCAAAAGTTTCTGAAAGAAAGGGAAAAAATAGATTTTAGCTGGCTTATCTTCACCTTCAGGGGTGAAGCCTTGGCTTCTAGTCAGCACAGCAGCAGCTTTTTAAGATATCCACCCCTCACTGTCCTTCCCAGCACCCTCCATGCTTCTTATAAGTCTTGTGTCCTAACAACTAACTAACTGATGACACTTTGGTCTCTAAAGACTATAGACCATCCTTTCTCTTTTTTTTTTTTGGTCTTTGAGCCAGGGTTTCAATATGTAGCCTTGGCTGACCTGGACTCGCTTTTTAGACCAGGCTGGCCTCGAACTCACAGAGATCCACCCGCCTCTGCCTCCCAGAGCAATGGGATTATAGGCCTGTGCCACCACCGCACCTGGCACCATCTTTTAAATTCTGCTCTAAGTTATAGCTTGTGAGGACACTACATTCCTCAAGTCAGGCAAGTGCCAAGGCCACTGGTTCAGCTGTCACATACACTATGGAAAGCATGGGAGTGTCACAGAACACTGAAATGGAAACAGCGTCCAAGGTTCCTGCCACCAGGGCAGCTTAAGCAAGGGGCCGATGCCCGGGGCTGGCACAACAGGGCAGCCTAGCAGTCCCTCCCACACAGCATCCGGATGGTCCAGCCGGGAGGTGATCAGGGAGGCTGTGGTCAGTGTTGTGTGAGGGGATGAGACATGCCGTAGCCTCCGAGGCACCGGCCCCAGGCAAATCCCGAATCAAAGGGCAGCGGCCTTACCACACTGACGAAAGGTCACCTCCGAGATGGCTGCGATGGTCTGTTTGCTGAACTGCATCTGTTTGTCCAGTGCGACCTCCTGGCAGAGGCAGCCAACTGTGTAGTGAACTGCGGCCTTTAGCCTCTGCGGGGAAACCAGAGTCCTCAGGGGCTATAAACAAGGGCTCCCATACCTTAGAGTAAGACCAAGCAGGGGGCTGCCCAATTCCTGCAGGGCTCGCCACCGAGGCAGCCTGACACTCTCTGGAGTGTGACTTGGGAAATCCTGGCTTTCAGCTGATGGTTATGATTTAGGTGACACCAGCGCCTACCCTCCCTCAGCTTCCGTCCAACTGCTCCTCAAGGGCCCATATGGAGAATGGAGGAGAAACCAGTTTGTGGCCTAACGAAGACAGAGAGCCCCCATCCCTCTGTTCAAGTCCCTAGAAGCCTCAGCCCTGCCTGTGCAGGTCACGGGACACTACCAGGAGAGACACCTGACCACCTCAATAGCCTTCAGGACCCTCAGGAAGAGCTGGGAACCAACCCAGGGCCTCACACGTTAGGCAAACACTTTCACTGAGTCACAGCCCCAGTCCCCAGAAGCCCTTTCCAACACTGAAAACTCTCGCTCTTCCCCACTCTGAGGGGGGGAAGAGGCTCCGACGGAGCCAAGCAGCAGCCCTGCTCTCTCTCCACTGATGTGTGAGCTCCTGAATCTAGATACCAGCAAGTGTCCACTGCATAGGCAAGACGAAGATCAACTGCAGAGATAAGTCCAGGACATTTGGTCAGGCAGATGAACGAGGGACATGTCCCTAACCCCTCGTCTGCTCAGACATCGGGCAAGGGAAACCCAGGCCTTTGGCAGAAGAGATAAAAGAGCTAACAGCCTAGCCTTACGGTCCTCTTTCAGGTAGGGTGGGGGCTGGGAACAGGACATGGACCTCTCTGAACGCATCTGGCTTCCGGAGGTTTTGTCTGCCCCTGCCTTCCCTCTTCCACGCTGCAGACTTGGTGGCTAAATCACCAGACCCCGAACTCAAGGGCAGGACCCTTCCACGTACCAAGAATGCCAGTTGGGTGGGCGTTGGGGCCCCCTCAGGCACACCAGAGCTGAGATGCAAATTTAAAGTCAACTTTACAACCTCATCTCATCAGTAAGCCTTTACTATCTGCTAAGGGCCAGGCCATGCTCTGAGAGCTGAGAACACAGAAACAGAAATGTAGCTACCATTGTAGTAAAAATGTACTACCGGCAACGCAACTCAGACGCAGGGTCCTCGCCTCGAATGTACAAGGACCTGATTTCTATCCCTGCACCACAAAAGAGAAATAATAATACAATTAAATAAAAAATAAAAACAAGACTTCCAGGCGTGGTGGTGCATGCTGTTAATCCCAGAACGCAGGAAGCAGAGTCTGTATGATTTCCAGGCTAGCCAGGGCTACGTAGTAAGATCCTGTCAAAGCCACACTGATGCACAACTCTAATCTTTCCTCTCTCCAGGAGACAGAGGCAGGCAGATCTCTGTGAGTTCAAGGCTAATCTGATCTACAGAGTGGGTTCCAGGACAGCCAAGGCTGCAGAGAAACCTTGTCTTGAAAACCCAAATCAAACCAAAAACCAAACAAAAAAAACAAACAAAATGAAAGTGAAGACCAAGGAGACAAAAGTAACCCAATCTTTGATTTGATCCTAGATGAAGGAAAAAGGACAACTAAATCTTGAGGACAAATGCAGACATTTGACTACAGACTGTATATTCAACAATGTAATTCCATCCAAGTTAAACTTACTCTGATCCCTTCTAGGCCTGTAATCCCAGCATTTGGGAGGTGGAGGCAGAAGATCAGAAGGTCAATGCCAGCATGCGCTACGGAAGACCCAGTCTGAAAGCAACTAAGCAAACTTCTGCAATGTGATAGACTTCAGGGAGGCTGTCAGAGCACACACCACTATCTTGCCTGCTGGAGCTGAATACGCCACCCTGAACTTGACCTGTACTTTCATCTAACTTCCATTTTATTTTTTTAGACAAGGGTCTCCCTGTAACACGGACTGGCCTAGAACTCAGAGATCTGCCTGCCTCTTCCTCCTCAGGGCTGGAATCAAAGGAGCAGGCCAGACTTCATCTGAACCTAGAACCTCCGTGTTGGTGTTGCAGGCTAAAATGGAGATCAGCCGATCCCTAAGCACAGCCAGGGCTTTAATACCTAAATAAGACCCTGGAATAGCACTTGCTACAAGAGAATAAATAAGCAGTGTTCCTACCTTCCTAATACGGCAACACTTTAATACAGTTATTCATATATTATTTTAATTTTATTACATAAACCATAACATTAATTTTTATTTCACGTGCACTGTGTTTTGCCTGCATGTATGTCTATACGAGGGTATTGGATCCTGGAGTTACAGAGAGTTGTCAGCTGCCACGTGAGTGCTGGGAGTTGAACCCAGGTCCTCTGAAAGAGGAGCCCCTCCTCTTATCCACTGAGCCATCTCTCCAGCTCATAAAATTATTTCATTGCTACTTCGTCACTGTAATTTTGCTACTGTTATGAATCACAATGTAAGTATCGGATACGCAGGTTGAGAACCAATGAAACAAAGCAAGCTGTCAACAATGAAAGCAGACAGTGGGCACTCGGGTGGACGGTCCGAATGTCTGAAGTCCTTGAAATAAGAGGGCAGGGCACCGGCTGCCGGGACTCAGAGCTAGCTAAGGAAGAAATCCCCAACCCTTGGCTCGCAGCGTTCCCAGCTGAGGCTGCAGCCCTGATTCATGAAACAACTGAACACTGGCTCTGACAGCACCCTGCGCGGCAGTTATTCCGATTCCAACTTTGCAAAGGAGAAAACCGCACTTGGGCCCCGGCAAACTGAAGCTAGAGGACTCAAACCACACCCATCGCAGAGGGCGGATTCCAGGGCAGCCTGCCAGGCGCTGGATCCCCGCCCTGCAGCGCCGTTCTCTCGTACAGAGCACAGGCCGCATTTCCCAGGTCCCTCGGGGACTAGCGAACTGCTTAGATCCTCTCTTGCTCTTTACTGACGGGTTTCACTGTGTAGACTAGGCTAGCCTCGAGCTCAGACATCGGCTTGCTCTCACTCCTGGGTGTTGGACTCAGCCTGAGCTGAGCCCCCAGGCCCTGCCCTCTCTTGCTTCTGAGACAGGCTATCTCTAGGTAGCTAACTGATGCGAAACTCATAATCCTCCAGCTTCAACCTCTAAATCAGTGTGTCTCAGTTTCTCTCCCCTCACCCACCCCCTCTCTCTCTTTTCGTTTTCCGAGACAGGGTCTCTCTGGGTAGCCTGACTGTCCTGGACTCGCTCTGTAGACCAGGCTGTCCTCGAACTTGAAGATCCGTGTGCCTCTGCCTCCCGCGTGCTGGGCAAAACTGCCAACTAAGCCCCGTCTTCTTCCTTTAACGCCCACATCGCACCCTCACGGCCCCGCGAACGACCGAGACACGGGCGGGCGGGACGCCCCTCGCGGAGAACCTCAAGCCCGCGCTGCAGCGAGCGACGCATGCGTACACGCGGAGGCGTCTAGGGACTTGGGGCCTTGCCCTCTCCCAGGACCGCGCCGCGCCGCCCTCGCTGGGACCCTGTCTATTTCGTACCTGCCGGTGAGAGAACTGCCGCTGCTCCTCAGCCTCCACCTCCTCCATCCCGGCGGACCACCCCAGCAGGCGCGCCACTGTCGGGTCAGATTTCCCGCGCTACCTCTGCAACCGGAGGCGCAGAGGGTCAAACGCGGAGCGCCTCCTTCCCGCCCCGCGCCCGCCACCTAGCGGCGGCTCGCGGAAGGGTCTTGCTGGAGTTGGTGTGACTCCAGGATCCGACCCACCAATCCTTTGATACCCAGCTGGCTCTTGTTTCCTAATAAAAAGAAAAAATTAAGAACAGACACAAACGGAAATGTGAGGGCGATGCATTAGCATTTAGAAGGAAAACCCCGGGACAGGCAAGCTTGAAATCCTGAAGGAATCGAATGGAGAAGAGAGACATGGAGGTCAGCCCCATGGCCGAAGCCTGCCACACTGTGCTAATCCCAAAGATTTGAGGAGAAAAACCACCCACCCAAACCGTCATGGCCTAGTCAATTAACGCAAGCAATTAATTAATTAAAGCAACTCTTTTATTTGTGTACATGAGCTGCCTCGCCCTAAGGTAGGGTTTGAGAGGTCAGTATTGAAGGTGAGGAAGCCAAGGTTTTTATAGTTCAGCGGTAAGGGGTTTCCAAATGGGGGGGGGGGGGAGGCAAATAGACAGAGTCATAAGAGCAAAACATAAGCATAACAAGGTAGTCATAACAACCTCCTGAAACAAAGACATGATTGCAAGATGGTCGTAACAACAGGGAGTCATAACCAGGTAGTCATAAACTTTTGAAACAGAAGGAGGTTTGCAAGATGGTAATAACAACTTTTTATTTTAGTTCCATCCATTTGCCTACAAATTTCATGATTCCTTTGTTTTTAATAGCTGAGCAAGATTCCATTGTGTAGATGTACCACAGTTTCTTTACCCATTCTTCAGTTGAGGAACATCTAGGTTGTTTCAAGTTTCTGGCTGTTATGACTAAAGCTGATATGAACATAGTTGAGCAAAAGTCCTTCTTTAATACTGCAGCATCTTTTGGATATATGCCCGGGAGTGGTATAGCTGGATTTTGAAGAACTATCCTCAATTTTCTGAGAAATCTCCAGATTGATTTCCACAGTGGTTGTACAAGTTTGCACCCCCACCAGCAATGGAGGAGGGTTCCCCCTGCTCCACACCCTCCCCAGCATGTGCTGTCACATTCTGATAGACGTAAGATGGAACCTCAGAGTCATTTTGGTTTGCATTTCCCTGATGACTAAGGAAATTGAGCATTTCTTTAAGTGATTCTCAGCCATTAGAAATTTCTCTGTTGAGAATTTTTGGGTTAGCTCTGTGTCCCATTTTTAAATGGGATTATTTGGTTTGTTGGTGATTCTTTTTTGAGACAGGAATACTCTGTGTAGCCTTGGCTGTCCTGAACTCATTTTGTACACCAGGCTGGCCTCAAACTCACAGAGATCTGTCTGCTCTGCCTTCCAGAGTGCTGGGATTACAGGCATGCACCACCATGCCTGGCTATGTTGATGTCTTTGATCCACCTAGACTTGAGTTTTGTGCAAATATGAATCTATTTGTATTTTTCTACATGTAGACAACCAGTTAGACCAGTGCCATTTGTTGATACTTTCTTTTTTCCATTGTATGGTTTTAGCTTTAGCTTATTTGTCAAAAATCAAGTGTTGCTAGGTGTGTGAGTTTATTTCTGGGTCTTCAATTTGATTTCATCAACCAACCAGTCTGTTTCTATGCCAATACCATGCAGGTTTTTTATTACTATAGCTCTGTAGTACAGCTTGAAATCAGAGATGTAGATTCCATTCTTTACAGCAGTAGGATCACACATGTCAGTGAGTTTTAATGGTTCCTTTTTCTTTTTAAGCCTTTGAGGGTTTTAATCAACACAGTCTCCCCAATTTTCTTTTTTTCTGAGACAGGGTTCTCTGTGTAGCTTTGGCTATCCTGGATTTTCTCTGTGGAACAGGCCGGCTTCAAATTCAAAGAGGGCCGCCTTCCTCTGCCTCCCAAGTGCTGGGATTAAAGGCATGCGCCATCATCACCCAGATGTCTCCCCAGTTTTCACAGCAGCTTCTCCCCACATGAAGCATCTATGTTGCCAGGATGGTGGAGAACACCTTAGGCTGAGGCAGGGGGATAGTGAGCTCAAGAGCAACTTGGGCTACTGAGCAAAACTGTCTCAGAAAGACAAAACAAATGACACTTAGTTCTCAGTCAGTCCCTACTCTGTCCCCACATGCCACCTCTTGCTGAAGCAACCAGTTCCCAGGGTTAATGAACATCACTGTGGTGACGTGTGGAACTTGAGAGAACAGACTGAACAGACTGGGTCTGAGGCAGCGCGTTGTAGGATCCTGGCCTACTTTGGAACAATTTCCAAATGATAGCGCAGAAGCATAGACTGGCCAGTAGATGTCAGCATTGTGCCACTGCGATCAAGGTCAGGGCTGCCTGGTTGTAATTTTGTAGCTAGCCCTGAGCCCTGGTCTTGTTCCCTTCATGATCATGTGCTTGCTTTCTGTCTCCTCTGCCAGAGTGAGGCCCACGTCACCAGTAGAAATACCTACAAGGACTAGAGTTTTTCAGGGGAATAAACTGCTTTGAAGTGGGCAAAGGCAGATTTGATCCTGAACAGCCTAGACCCTGTGTCAACACTCATTCCCATCATCCTTGGGACAAATAAGACTTTTTGAGCCCTTTTCAGCTGCATTAAACAGGACACCACAAATATTAGTTCAATAGCACCTCTCACTGTTTTTCCCTTACACTGAACTGTCAAGTAAGGATTTGGAAAGCAGACTCCATTAATGAATAGCACATGTCAGGACTTCCTGCTTCTCTCACACTGGGGAAACGGCACCCAGTACGTAGTGGGTGTGCGGTTAATGTGACAAGCGACTGAGAGATGTTTATGCACAGATGCCTGGTTTGGACATAAGGAGAGGTAAGGCAGTCTCATTGCCCCTGGTATCAGATCACTAGGGTTCAAGTTCCTGCTCAGTTGTTGAACAACTTAAACTCCTGTGATTCATCTGGGAATTTGATGCCTCTGAGTTCAGGTAATAGAGGAGTCAGAAGTCACTTAACATGTGGCCTACTCAGGTTTGACACACACTGTCTTATGTGTGTGCCCTCAGGTAACCCAGAACAAGACACAGATTGCCCATTTCTGCCAGATGCCACAGAGAGGCGTGAGTGGCCGGTGTTATTTTCTTTTTCATTTTATTTTATTTTAAAGACACTTTCTCTGTTTAGCCCAGGCTGTCCTGGAAAACTCTCTTAGACCAAGCTGGACTCAAACTGGGAGCTCCACCTGCCTCTGCCTCCCCAGTGCTGGGATTAAAGCGTGCACCGCCACTGCCCCGCTGGCAGGTGTATTTTCTGAAGATTGCCGAATACGTGCTATGACAAGCACTTCTGCTCTTGAGACAGGCCTGGTTACCACCTCTCTCTCCCTCTGTTGTTTTTTGAGACAGGGTTGTCTCGTGCACCTCACACTGGCTATGTAGCTCAGGGTGATCTTAAACTTTATTTTTTAAGATTTATTTTAAGTATACGGGGTGTTTTGCCTGCATGTATGTATGTGTTCTGTCTGTGTGCCTAGGACGTCAGAGTAGGGCACTGGATTCCCTCGGCTTCACAAATAGCTTTTAATCCCAGCATTTGGGAGGCAGAGGCTGGCAAATTTCTGCAACTTCAAGGCCAGCATGGTCTATACACAGAGTTCCAGACAAGCCAGGAGCTGCACAGTAAAACCATGTTTAAAAAGAAAGAAAAGCTCAGGTCACAGGCTCTGAGGAAAAACCTATGTGTTGTTTACTAATTAAATACGATAGCAAACTGCAGCGTGGGTGGATACTCTAGCATTGAACCATTCTACCATGCTTTCTGTTGGTGCCTTCTTCCTGGAGGAAGGTAAGGGCTCTAAGAGGGTTTGGTATGTGTAGGCTGGCCTTGAACTCTCCACCCTCCTGCCCTCAGCTCCTTCCTGCTGGAGTTAGGCAAGTGTGTCATCATGCCCAGCCCACTACACACACTGGCACAAATGTGCACAGAGGACAGCTTTCAGGAGCTGACTCCCGGCTTCCTTTTGGGCCCCAGAGACTGAACTCAGAGGGTCGGGCTTGGCCTTTCCCCGCTGAGCCATCTTCTCGCTGTCAGGAAGTGCTGTGACCACAGCTACTAAGAGATGGGGCCAGATCAGAACCCACGTAAAAAGGCCAAGATCAGCAGGCACCAGGCATAAGCTTGAAATCTCAGTGCTGTGGAAGGAAGCAGGGGCAGGTGGAGCCCTGGGGCTCACGGGCCGGGCAGCCTATCTGAATCGGGTGAGCCTCGGATCGCAGCGAGACCTCATCTCAGAAAAGCAATAGGCCTCCACATGCATGAGCACATGTGTGCTCCCACTGCAGAGTGCCTGGCTACATGAAGAAAATGCCATTTGGACAGCTCTGAAGTCAAACCCTCCCCACACGGCCTCAGTGACGCTGCACGCTAGTGCCCCGGCAGCTTTGCTTCTTGGTTTCTCTTGTGTGGATTTGTGGTTATTTGCATGTATGCCCAGAAGCATAGACATCAGCTGAGAGCTTGCTGGAAATACAGAGCGATGCCAACCAGCACTTTTTCATTCTACAGGGAGACATCATGCTGGTGGCATAGTACAAGAAGCTCCAACCTGTTCTTAATTAGTACACCTACTGTGTGCTACACAGAGGACACTGGCCAGAGGCCTTCTCAACATTGGCAGAGTGAACTCCTCACCAATACAGCATATCCTTGGCACAAGGCAGGCCACATCCCACACGGCAGCTGCTGCCACTTGTGCGGGTGTGCTCTTGTGGGAGACCCTTAGGACGGTTTCCCATGAGAACACACCCCAGACAGGAAAGGACTTTCCCCCGGTTACACAGCTAGAAAGAAAAGGGGCTGGGTTAGAAACCTGACCCTAGCCTCCAGAGGTTCTTGGAGGGTGAACTAGCAAGGGCCGGAGTCGAGCCTGGTTGGCCCTCCACCTCTGAGCAAGGACAAGGGGCGAAGCAGCCTGTAGGTAAGGGGGCAGGTGAGCCCCAGCCCTCCCTTCTAGGAAGGGGGTGTGGGGACGTACCCTGTA